TTTTTAAGTATAAAACTTTTTTATAACCATTCTGTTGTTGCTGTTGGCTTCTTTTGTCAAATGTGTTGTTGTCGTTGTTCAGTCATTATTCGGTGTTCCGGTTCTGCCGCTTCTGTTGTTGTTGATGATGATGATATTCTGGAATAGTATGACCTTTTAACTTAATTGATACTTTCATATAAAAATTAATACTCGATGTGTCTAGGTCACCTAGGGCTTTCCTTCGTTATTAACCTTTACATTTCCACGCAAACACACGCTTCTGGACAACCACATCGCAATAATTAACTAACAGCACACAGAAAGATCACCCCAGAGATTTGCCTCATACAAAACAACTAAGCCCTCTTGTTGTTGTTGTTCTGTTTGAAAAAAGACCACCTCCACGTCTGCTTTGTTGGACGTAGCACCTTCTGTTGACAATTTCAATTACAGTTTCTCACATCCGAAATGAGGCTGCCCCTAATCTATGATATTTTTGTGTTAATTAGTGAAACTTTTCTCAATTCGTTTGTCTTTTTGTTGGCGTTGAGGAGCTGCGTTCCATCAATGGTAGTCCTCTGTTCACTTGATAATTTCTCGGCTCTCTTGAATCAATTCTCCTTGTTTCTTATTTTTAATTTAATTTGCATTACATCTGCCGTCATTAATTGAATTTAAATTGTATTATTGTTTTGTTTTTATTTGTAAAATTAGCAAAAATATTTGCAATTTATTTCCTTCTTAATTTCTATTGCACACTGCTTTGCCATTTCACTTGATAATAAGCGAAGTTGGTTGTGGCCACATTTGAGCCGAACGAATTAAAAAGCGTTCCACCAACTACGAATAGTGGGTGTTAGTAGAGAATAGCTGATAAACACTGAACTCAAAACACAATTGGGGACATGTTTACGAATGTGAGCGGATTGTTTGCGTTGTATAGAATGGGGAAATGGAAGAAGTGGAAAACAGCTGTAAGGAGTTGGCAATCAGCTGTTAGTGAATTTGAGTACTAAGTACTCATATGGGGTTGCTGCAATAGGTTGCCGTTTGAGATGTATTCGAGTAAGTTAAAAACGTTATTTTTTAATCCTGCGGAAAAATGCAAAAAGTGAGTGAAAGTTAGGGTAATTGTTCTCGTTGTTTCAAAAGTATGGGACTGGAATTCGACATCTGTCAATCTTTGTTTATAAACCAATTGTTTCTCTTTTGAGTTGAAAGTCTGGCATTGAGGGAAATTGATCGCTATCTCATAACGAATAAAAACTATCAAAACCTACTAAAAATGGTGATTCTAACACAACCATATATCGCGCTTTAAAATAATTTTATGGTTTACATAATTGTGCAACTACTGGAATGTTATTAAAAAATTGTCGTATTTGGGGTTCCGAGATTTCTCAATTAATTTAAGAGAGAGGGTTAAGTCAAGTTTAGGGGCTCCACTCGGATCATTTTGAAATTGTTACTATAGGTAGTCCTCGGAGAGCTGCAAGTTCGGAGAATATTTTGTTTAAATCAGTCGGTTTACTATTTCCAGCAAGGCAATATGGGCATCATTTTAAAGGTTACGGATAGTGTTTTAAAAGTAGACGCAGAAATAAAATTGAAAAAAATAGGATTGCGTAGCCACGTATGCGGCTACTTAAGATGCCTTTATATTATTCTGAAATTTCACTTAGAAAATGCTTTGGATTGCGTAGTCATGTATGTGCCTGTCCATAGGTTTCCGAGTGATGCCCCTAAACTTGACTTGTTTCAGGAGAGGCTGAAAATTCACTATTTGGCCCTTACATCCTCGAAAACGACTATGAAACAGATGTCACCGTTTCACCATTTCCTGGCGGCATCATTTCTTGTCGTGGCAATATAAACGGGCCTCCAAGATCCTGCGAGTTTACACCGTTAGACTTTTTTATGGGGTTGCTCGAAAGACCGCCTTTATGCAGGTTAACCTTCAACTCTTGAGCACATAAAACATTCTTCAAGTTATGGCGTATGCAAATTTCTGGCCCGTGGAAAATGGCGTACCCAAGTCTCTGCACCCTAGAATCCCTAAAGTAGAATTAGTTAGATGTTCATTTTCCATGGACTGAGGTTGAATATGATGCAGCAATTGCACTCTGGATGAGTATGCGATGTTCAGAGTCTTTAAACCAGAATTAGTCCTTTTAAAACATCCTGCTGGAAAAGGTCATACGAGAGGCAAACGACACTCTATAACACATGTAACTCGCCTACGCCGATGGCATCGACATTGCGAGCGGTAAAAGCCACCTTTGAGAAGAAGTCTCCCACAGTGGACTTGGCGGTAAATGGCGAGAAGATCAAGCTGATAGTATCAACGCGTAAGACGTCTAGTTCACTCGGACCAACTGTGGAGCATGAAAACTACAGCTTCGAAGTAGTCAAAGATTTAATATAAATCGGTTGATATTCGGTGAAGGATAGTGTTGGTCAACAGATGCTACTATGATCTGAGTAAGCAATTCAAAAACAAGGTCACCTCTTACCAGACTAAACTCACATTCTACAAGACGCTGATTCTACCCGTGCTGGTGTATGGACAAGCTGAGATAAAGTGTTTGAGAGAAAAATTCTCCGAAAGATCTACGGGTCGTGCTCGAACCACGAGCTTTACCATCTATACATCGACAAAGTCAGTCGTATCAAGCTGTAGCGACTACCGTGGTTATTCTATTTTGTGCGAATGGATGAGGATGCCCAGCTCAAAAGGCATATGAAAGTGAGCCTACTTATGGTTCACGCAGGAGGTCAAGGTCACGAATTCGATGGAAAGATCAAGTGAAGGATGACATATCTAAACATGGTCTTTCAAATTGGAAAAACTGCACACAAGATCGACGCGCCTGTAAATCTTTTTTAAGTTCGGCTTATCGAACAAATGTTCTGTCTCGAGTCAGCTAAACAAAGGAGAGATTTTCAGGGTCTTTTATGCTTACCAAATCTGTGGAGAGAAGTAAAGGTGACTTTTATTCTCAAGGCGGGGAAGCTTAGTCACAGTTTATCGAAAGACTACAGTTCGAATAGCCTTTCTCTTGAAAACAATGTAAAGGTTATTAGATTTTGGGATCAGAAAATCATTGAACTTAAATGAAATCAGCAAATCCCAGCACAGCAAATCTGTAGACACTGTTTTACATGAAGTAGTTGGGCATTTTAAGATAAATTTGGAGAACTCCAACTTCGCGTTGGCGTTTTTTCCCGATAAAGAGGGAGCTTTCAACAACGTTAAGATGAAATTTGTTCACTTGGGGGATTATCCTCTTCCATAGTGGATTGGATTGATGTTATGTTGAAAAGCAGGATAACAAATGCAAACATTTGGGGAGAGCTCCATAAAGAGGAGAGCTCCAAAGAGGCACTCCACAAGGCGGGGTCCTGTCACCCTTGTTTTAACTTCTAGTTATAAACGAGATTCTTCACTTTGACCAGTTGCGAACGAATGTTGTGGCTTATGTCGATGATTTTGTAGTCCTGTTTAAAGGAAAATTCACACATTATGCAGGGTGCACTGGTATGCTTCAACCTTGCACCCAAGAACCAAATTCCAACATTCTCCCTACCTACAATAGATGGTGTAGCTCCGGAACTCTCTTTGGAGGCAAATACATGGGCACCATCCCAGACATCCGTTTATCGTGGAAAAGGAACAAAGAAAGACCTAATAGCACTGTACCACTGCAAGAATTTAATTGGGAAGAGCTAATAAAAAATCAAGTAACCAGAAGCGCGTCTAGAATGAAGGACATATGAGCATGGTGAACATCACACGATAAGAATGCAACCCAGCAGTCCGCTGGGTATTACAATAGTATGTCAATACGAAAAAAAGAAATAACGGCGGTTAATAGCATACAACTAGGATCCGATTCAGATGAATTGTATAGCTGTTGCATTGTGGAACAAAATTCGTACTAGAAATGATATGACAGCCTAGGGCATCGCTGTGTAATTGTAAGTTGAAATTATATACAGGCTTCGGATGAATCGTTGCTACATTGTATTTGGTCTCAGTTGGAAGATGTATGGGTAAAAAAATTCGCTGGGAATGTCCTAAACTTGACAAGAGATTACGGAAGGAAGACACTTTCGTTTTTTTTGTAGTTAGTTTTTATTATCATTAATTAAAAATTTTCAATGCTTTACAATTAATTAATATATATTTTTTGTTTTGATTTTCATTATTTTTTTATTATTATGGTTTTTAATTATATAAGACTTACTTAAATTTTAAACTTAGTAGACTAGTAATGCTTAATTTTAATAGAGGGCAAAAGTAGTATGAGGTCTGTTAAGAAAATCAATGGTGGTGTATTTATATTTTTTTAAATTTTACAATCAAGAATTTTTCGGATTTTAAAAATCAGCTTTATTAACAATCATGCTTTCAGGGTGGAAGAACAAAGTTTGCCAAGGAAATTAGGATGTAAATTATCCTTTTGGATTACAAGGATAATCTAAGTTAGACCCCTTGATTATTTTATAGGTCATATGACTTTGCATCCTAAATTATTATTATTTTTAGTTTATTTCGTATTAATTTCAATTTATTTTTTTTAAAAATGGCAGTTACATATTAAGCAGTTATAGTTATTCAAAATGATTAGAAGTTCCATTTTTCCGGTTGAGATTAAAGCAAATGTTATAAAAAAGTTATTAATATTTATTTATGTGTTTAAAAATAATATTTTTTTATATTTATTATAAAAGATTTACAGTATTTATTTTTTATTAGCTTGTGTGTGTATCTGTCTATTTGTAAATATGTTTGTGTCAATTTAACAAAAATATTACGAATGTTTTTTTGTAAACATTTTCATTTTAATAATTTTGTTAAATTAAGACCGTGGGAATGTTTCATTATTTTCTGTTGAGAGGGGGGCGGAATAACTTTACAAAAAGAAATGGAATAGGTTTCTTTTGTTTTTGTTTTCTTCTTTCACAATTCCATGTCCACGCTTTACTCTTGAGGTTTCTGTTTTTCTTCGTTCATTTATTTACAAAAATTTACACAGCATTGCTACAATTGCGAAGACGAATATCCCACTTAAGGTGACTGGGGCAGCGGTTCGACCAGCATTCCGTGCCTGTTCCAATTCTTTTTCGTCGACCACAAAAGCGGGTACAGATAACGGCAGTTGTTCATATGTCTTCACCAAGGGTTCATTGAAATGTCCGCGACTGTTGCGTGCCAAACGTTGATTGGCCAATTTCAATTCGCGTAATTTCTCCTCCAAGCGCAAAACTTCATCTGGAAATTAAAAAAACAAATAAGTTATACAAATTATTAAAAAAATAAATAAATAAAAGTAAGATTTAAAGATGAAAATAAGAAAGAAGATTAAAAAGCAAACCATCCAGGCATGGAATTAAAAAAATACTCGTTTCTCCAAAGCCAACACTTTTTATAAAAAAGAAGCCAGTTTTTATAAAAATTATATTTAAGGTGGCCATTATTAAAATTAAAATTATTATTAAGGTCATTAAAGCCAACAAGGCGTAGATTTTTTAAGAATTATTTTCAAGACCGCCAACAAGTTGTGGATTTTTTAAACATTATTTTTAAGGGCAGCCAATAAAGAGTGGATTTTCAACAAAAAATATTTTTAAAGGCGTGGATATTTTAAAAATTATTTTTAAAGGCATTGATTTTCAAAAAAATATTTTTAAAGGCGTGTATATTTTAAAAATTATTTTTAAAGGCATGGATTTTTAAAAAAATATATTTTTTTTAAGGCGTGGATATTTTAAAACTTATTTTTAAATAGGCATGGATATTTAAAAAAAATATTTTTAAAGGCATGGATATTTTAAAAATTAGTTTTAAAGGCATGGATATTTTAAAAATTATTTTTAAAGGCATGGATATTTTAAAAATTATTTTTAAAGGCATGGATATTTTAAAAATTATTTTTAAAGACGTGGATATTTTAAAATTTTTTTAAAGGCGTGGATATTTATTTTTTTAAAGTCGTGGATATTTTAAAAATTAAATTTAAAGACAGCCAATAAGGCGTGGGTTTTTTTTTAAATTATTTTTAAAGGCTTGGATATTTAATTTTTTTAAAGGCGTGGATATTTTAAAAATTATTTTTAAAGGCGTGGATATTTTATAAATTATTTTTAAAGGCGTGGATATTTATTTTTTTAAGGCGTGGATATTTATTTTTTTTAAGGCGTGGATATTTATTTTTTTAAAGGCGTGGATATTTATTTTTTTTAAGGCGTGGATATTTATTTTTTTTAAAGGCGTGGATATTTTAATAATTAAATTTAAAGACAGCCAATAAGGCGTGGGTTTTTTTAACAATTATTTTTAAAGGCTTGGATATTTAATTTTTTTTTAAAGGCGTGGATATTTTAAAAATTATTTGTAAAGGCGTGGATATTTTATAAATTATTTTTAAAGGCGTGGATATTTATTTTTTTTAAGGCGTGGATATTTATTTTTTTTATTGCGTGGATATTTATTTTTTTTAAGGCGTGGATATTTATTTTTTTAAAGGCGTGTATATTTTAAAAATTATATTTAAAGACATCCAATAAGGCGTGGGTTTTTTAAAAATTATTTTTAAGGCAGCCACTAAGGCTTGGATTTTTTAAAAATTACATTTAAAGACAGCCTATAAGGCGTGGATTTTTATACCCTACACAACTATGTTGTCAGGGTATTATAGCTTTGTGCAGCCCCAAAAGTTTGTAACGCCGCGAAATATCGGTCCTAGACCCACCTTTAAGTATACCGATCGTCATATCTCGACTAGCTGAGTCGATCTAGACATGTGTGTCCGTCCGTCCGTCTGTCCATTATAATTTGTAAACGCGATACAGGGGTTCTGGCCAATGAAGACCCCTATTGTTTTTGGGAAAGATCGGTTAATATTTAGGGGATGAAATGGACCAAATACTAAATTTTTGTCGGTTTTTCTGGTCGCTCCACAGGCCGCAATAATGGCCCGAACATCGTGAAATTTTGCATGGAGAAGGGGGTCGGGCCAAATGGACCCTGACTTTTGTGTGAAAAATTACAAAATTTGTATTCTATAGCGTATATATTTACCCCTGAAGGACATAGACCCGAAAATTTGATATTATATCCAAGAGGAGTGGTTGACCTTTAAATTAAGACCAATTGCATGTGCTCTGATGTGGGAGTTACACCTAAATATTTACAGGTATTTCCGTATTTGTATGTTATTTAGTAACCCATTATCACTCTAGAGAGCCGAACATAGCGCTGATCGCTTTGAAATGTTTCATGAGGTTCCAGTTATGGTCAAGGACAACGCCTATAATTTTCGGTGATGATCAGATATTAATTTTGGAATGAAGTGGACCGAAAACTTAATTTTTGTGTTATTTTCGAGACGATCTACAACAACACAACCCACGGTGAAGGGAATCTGGACAATAACTGTACTGAATACTCGTAATATTCGGAAAATATGTCAGTGTGAGGAAGAGGTGCTGTTTACCTCTAATCGGGCAAGAGTGTGCAAATATCACGAAATATTGCCCAGGCTCGGAATACACATCCGTAGAAAATTTGAGTTCAGTGGTAGTTGTGTAGGGTATCGTATGGTCGGCCCCGTCCGACTATACTGCTCCGCTCACTGGTTTAAAAAATATTTTTAAGGCAGACACTAAGGCTTGGATTTTTTAAAAATTATTCTTAAAGGCAGCCAACAAGGTGTGGATTAAAAAATATTTTAAGGCTGGCAAGAAGGCGTGGATTTTTTAAAAATTATTTTTAAGGCGGCCAGTTAAAAGGTGTGTAGTTAAAAAAATATTTTTTTCTAGCCAATGAATATTGTTTTTGTTGGTTTTACTTACTTCGATTAACACCTTCAATATCATTAATTTTAATGAACATGGCCAATGAGATCTCATAAACTTTATTCGTATCCTGGAAGGGTGACATCATGGCCTCGGAGGTATCACGTCTTCTGCGGCCATAACCTATCTGGCCATTCGAACATTGGGTACCCAAACATTTGTCCAGACATACATTGACAGTGGCACGTAATTGAACGTACGAGGAATCGGGGAATTTGA